GGGAACTTCTCTCCTAAATATCTGTGTCAAAATAATACGAGAGTTACTCTTCTTTTTTAACATTTTTTATTGATTTATAATCATTTTACAGTGTTGTGTCAAATTCCAGTGTAGAGCACAATTTTTCAGTTATACATGAATATATATATATATTCATTGTCACATTTTTTTTCTCTGTGAGCTACCATAAGATCTTGTATATATTTCCCTGTGCTACACAGTATAATCTTGTTTATCTAGTCTACATATTGAAATCCCAGTCTGTCCCTTCCCACCCCCCGCCCCCTTGGCAACCACAAGTTTGTATTCTATGTCTATGAGTCTGTTTCTTTTTTTGTTTTGTATTTATGTTTTGTTTGTTTGTTTGTTTTAGATTCCACATTTGAGCAATCTCATATGGTATTTTTCTTTCTCTTTCTGGCTTACTTCACTTAGAATGACATTCTCTAGGAGCATCCATGTTGCTGCAAATGGCGTTATGTTGTTGGTCTTTATGGCTGAATAGTATTCCATTGTATAAATATACCACCTCTTCTTTATCCAGTCATCTGTTGATGGACATTCGGGCTGTTTCCATGTCTTGGCTATTGTAAATAGTGCTGCTATGAACATTGGGGTGCGGGTGTCATCCTGAAGTAGGGTTCCTTCTGGATATATGCCCAGGAGTGGGATTTCTGGGTCGTACGGTAAGTCTATTCCTAGTCTTTTGAGAAATCTCCATACTGTTTTCCACAGTGGCTGCACCAAACTGCATTCCCACCAGCAGTGTAGGGGGTTCCCTTTTCTCCACAGCCTCTCCAGCATTTGTCATTTCTGGAGTTTTGAATGATGGCCATTCTGACTGGTGTCAGGTGATACCTCATTGTAGTTTTGATTTGCATTTCTCTGATAATTAGTGATATTGAGCATTTTTTCATGTACCTATTGATCATTTGTATGTCTTCCTTGGAGAATTGCTTGTTTAGGTCTTCTGCCCATTTTTAGATTGGGTTGTTTATTTTCTTCTTATTGAGTTGTATGAGCTGCTTATATATTCTGGAGATCAAGCCTTTGTTGGTTTCATTTGCAAAAATTTTTTCCCGTTCCGTAGGTTGTCTTTTTGTTTTACTAATGGTTTCCTTTGCTGTGCAGAAGCTTGCAAGTTTCATTAGGCCCCACATATTTACTATATTTTGAAAAGAATAGCTGTCTGACTATTTTGTTTCTTGTCTTTCTGTCTTTCTTTTACTTTCCCTTTCATTCCAACAGTTATTTATTGAGGTCCTGCTGTGAGCCAGGCACTGTTGTAGGGTTACAGTGGGAACAAAATATACAAAGGTCTGCCCTAATTGAAACTTTCATTCTAGTGAGATAGACTGCAGTTAAACACATGCACACACAATATTTACAAACCATGGTAAATGCTACAAAGGCAGTAAAGGGAGGTGAGTGAACAGAGTGACTTTGATGAGGCAGGTTGGAAGTGGGTGCCATTTGAAAAGGGACTGGCTCTCTAACAGTTTGGGAGGAGAATTTTCTGGGAAGAAGGAATAATGAGTGTTGACCTCAGGAGAACCTGGAAGCTTTTGTTCTCCAGTTCAGAACAAAAGAGTCCAGCCAGAGTCATCACGCAATTCCCTGTAAAAAGCAGTATTTGCTTCAGCATTCTCCTTGAAACGGATCTTCTCCGTACGGTGGCCCCTTTGAAGAAGGACTGTTTCTATATTTAAAATTTTTTTCTAAGGTACCACATTATGCATATGAGTTTGGGCGATTTAAATCAGATCCCGTATCTTCATCTCTCCTGTCCTGATTGCTGCCATTCCTCCTTTCCTTCCACCACAGGAGTGAGACTTGGTGGGGGAGAACAGGTTTCTGTCTTGAGATAACTTTCAGCTCTTGCTATCATTCTGGTTGCATGGGCACCACATTTCTAATGGATATTCTAGTTTCACTTTGGTACGCCAGGAACGCACATCCTGGGAGAAATAACAGCCTCCTGTGACATCATCCTGATCTGTGCCTGCTTCCTCTCCCCCTCTCGTGCCCCTAGGGAAGTGTGAGATTGGCTGGGCCTACTACTGCACGGGAGCCGGTGCTGCGGCCGCCATGCTGCTGTGCACGTGGTTGGCTTGCTTCTCAGGCAAGAAACAGAAACAGTACCCGTACTGAGACGGAGCCACCAAGAGCGGACAAAGGAGAAGACAAAGACGGGCCGATGGGACTGGGAGGGACTGAAGCCCCCAGCTACTTCCAAAAAGGTGGAAAAGTGGTTCTAAACCATACTGTGCTCATGAAATAAAACCCAGTGGAGTCAGAAACATTATACAATGTGGAAGGGTTGTATGAGATCTGTGAAAGAAACGTAGGGCATGGAATGATAGAGAAAAATGGACCAAAGGCTAAAACTATTGCAGGGTGTTGGATGTTTCTGTTCCACGGAGTATTGTTAACGTAGAACACATACATACACAAAACAAATATATATATATGCAAACAAGGGTTGTTTTTTCTTTTTTTTTGGATGACGACTCAGAGAATCATAAGGGCTAGTAGAAACAGTATTATGTTGGGAAGCAGGGAAACCCACAGATGTTCCCTGTAAGTCATGGCACTTCTGAAAGCACACGAGCACATGCAGACATACGCATCCACACACATGCTCATACACAAACACAGAAATTGTCGCACAGACTGAGAGGTTTAACGGTGCATCGCTCCTCTGTTTTCTTCTTAATACACACTTAAAATACAGTATTATCACTTTATAAAGCATACATTAAACCTAATAAATGGGCCAATAAGCCACTCTATCAGTATTTTGTATATCCTGCATAAACTCTTTATGCCCTCAACGTGTTTTCAGTGTTTATGCAGACCATTAGGATTAAGCCTTTGTATTTCAATATTATTCAAAAATATGCAATATTTCTCTGAGTAGCTTCTGCTATGATATTCTTATGAAGTAAAGGGGCAACTTTCTGTCCATTGTAGGAGAGATTTCAATGAAAGTTGAGAGTAACGAGAGACATTTTTCCAGTCATTAAATCTTGTTTTCGTTTGTCCATTATTGTACTGTGCTGTACCACATTTATTCCAATATTCATTTTGTAAAAAAATTTAAAAAGTGCTATTTTGTTTGTATTTGAAAAGCTCTGTGAATAAATTCTCTTTGATCAATAGCTGGATGAGTCATAGAGTGTTAATTCAGTTATGAAGTTGGCGTCTTTAATTTCCTAAATATAGCCTTTCAACTCCAACAGTCTTGTAAATTTCCCATTTCCATTTCCTTTTAAGGCCCCCCATTCATTCACTCCCTAGTCATCCAACCAGGCATTATTCTCGCACACAAGGTATTAAAGGTGAGTAAGACATAGTTTCTGCTTTCAACTTAAGTTCTTTGCAACCAGAATTCTAACAGCCTATTCATTGCACTTAAATCGTGATCAAATTCTTAGGAGAGAGGAATTTCAAGTCTATTTTGGATGAGGTTTGAAACTATGGGTGATATTCAGAAGTGATTGAAGGCATGAGAACCAGGTCGTGGTTCAGTCTCCGTGGATGATGGCAGAGGGGTCACATGTGGCCAGTGACATGCTGCTCCTCCTTTTCTATGAGAGGCTGAATTTCTTGGGTGCTTCTGTGCCAAGGACAATTTCATACCACTGTCTTTCAGGGGTCTAGGCCGTTGAGCAAGTTTCTCTCACACTTCTGTTCCCAGCATAAAGCCTTGACTGGAGAGAAAGATTTGGACCCTTTCAAGACCCCCTAACAGAACCAGCTCTTCCAAAAGCAAAGATGGGATAATGGCTACATTCTTCCATGAGGTAATACTGAGTAAGCCTCAAATCCTTAAAAGTGCAGCTTCAATTAGTTTCTAATTATATATATTTTTCATATTTGGAAATTGAGCGTTCTGGCTATTTATATATGTTACTGTGTTTTTCAGTTTAATGTGAATAGCTGAATATCACGCTTGCTTCTGGCACTTTTAATCATCCAGGGTGAGGATTCACATTGTCCTGGAAGAACAATACAAGACTCTGGCCAATAACATTCTGGACTTTCTGAGGCTTTGTTGCTATGGAAAAAGTCACTCTGCTCTCAAATGCTTTATTCATCACGCACTGAATGCCGTTTGATTGTGTCTCATTGTCTACTGAGCAGGGGCCGCTCCACTCTGTGGTTTCCTGTCGGGAGGAGAAGATTGCACTTTGCTTCCTCCATGAGCCCATCATTTTCATCTATTGCTGGTGCTTTCCAAATTTCTTAAACTGCACCTTCCTGTCAGAAGAGTATTATGACTTCTTAGCTCCCATGATCAAGTTGGAGGTCTCTATGGAATTCATTAAAGTCTAATTTCTCAGACAGATTTAATGATGACATTGTCATTTTTATGTAATCCAGATGGCTTTTGACATTAGTGAACCTCTCTAGAATAAAAGCTGATCACTCTGACGTGATGAAGTCATTTGGCAAGCCCTGTATCTCAAGTTCCAACTGGTCATATTTTTTTTTTTGATTCAGGATGTCCCAGTATTTGATGAGGAGCATCTAATGTATTAAGAATTATATAAAAAATAAAGAATTACGTATACTGCTTTTCAAAAGAAAATCAGGATTCATTAAATAATAATAATAATAACAATAATAATAAAATCTGTGAAAAATATGTATTCACAGGCTGCTTACTGATGTACATTGAAGGGTCCAAAAAAGCTCCATTCACAACCTCATGAAGCTTTCATTGCTTGTACATGCTTGTGAGGTTAGTGGGGAGTTTTCCTTATTTTTAGGACGAGAAAATGATGTGGAAAGAAGTTAATTGATGGAATTGAATCAACTCTTCCAATTTTCCACATATTTGTGTATTTGGGTAACAGATAGTTCTCGAGCTCCTGCTACTTGCTAGGTGCTCTGCTAGCTAGAAAGCACTCCACAAAGCGCAGCCCCTGTTTTCTAGTTGGTCCCAAGCTTATGGGGGACAAGGAACAAGAACATTAGTGATGGTATTACGTGTCCTGTGATGTCAACTGACTCTCAAAGACAGGGAGGAGATTCCCTCCGGGTAAGAATGCTGCACAGATAAATATAAAAGGAAAAGAAAGGTGATAAACTATGATTTTCTGTTCTTCAGAGGATATCATTAAGAAAATGAAAAGGTAAGCCAAAGACTGGAAAAGTTACATATCTGGCAAAGAACTTAGAGTCAAAATATATGAAGGACTTTTTCCAATGAATAGTAAAAAGATAAACAATTCAGTTTTTCTAAATGGTTAAAAACACAAATGGAATATTCCACAAAAGAAGATACACACATTTCAATAATTACATTGAAAAGTTACTCAACATCAATAGTCAAGGAGGATATGAAACTCAGAGCCACAATGAACCACTTAACATACACTAGACTAGGGGGAGGGCATAACTCAGTGGCAGAGTGTGTGCTTAGCATGCATGAGGTCCTGGGTTCAATCCTCAGTATCTCTATTAAAATAAATACATAAATAAATAAACCTAATCATCTCCCCCCTCAAAAAACAAAACCAAATCAAGTCAGATACACTAGATTGAATAAAATATTTACACCACCAAATGTTGCTGAGTATGGAGATGCATAGCTAGAAGCCATCAGGCAGTTTCTTATTATGTTAACCATATTAATTTCCCTCCTAGGTCTTTATGTAAAAAAAAAAAAAACCAAAACCTAAGTCCACAAAAAGATGGCATTAAAGTGTTTGGAGTTCAGAATAACTCCAAGTTGGGAACAACTCAAATGGCTACCAATACATAAGGGAAATTATGGTATATTTAAACAATGGAATACCACTTGGCAATGGAAAGGAATGAACTTCCAGTACACACAACATAGATAAGTCACACAGACTTAATGTTGAACAAAGAAGCCCGACACACAGGCAAAACTAATAAATAATGATAGAAATCAGAACTGTGATTAACCTGAGTTGATTAACTGGTGAAGACACAGGGAACTTCCTGGGATGATGGAAATGTTCTATATATCAATTAGGGTGTTGGTTACATGTATGTATACACTTGCCAGAATCCACGCACTTACAGTCTGCACTTTACTGTATGTTAATTGTAGCTTAATACATAGGGATTGACCATATGAGATCACTCATATGTGGAATCTAAAAAAAAAAAACCAAACAAACAAAGCATAAATACAAAACAGAAATAGATTCATAA